TGGAAGGATACTTTACACACTACTTGTCTAAGTTGGCAGTGATCAGTCTATGCATCACTATAGGAGGTTATATGGGAAGAAGATGGCTTTAGAGAAGGGAAGATGTTCTTGTGCAGTTTATATTCAATTTAGCAACTTGAACTTCTTCCCACATGTCTCCTTGGATCTCACCATTTCTTCTGACTATGTTTTTCTTCATGGGTACAAGACAGGCATTGGCCTTCTTGGCTTACATGAATGCTATGTCTAGGAGAGAAATCTGTGCTGTAACAACCTCTACGACAAAATGAAGAACTTCAGATAAACCAAGGAGATGTGTTTCTTAATGCCTGCAAAGACGTCACCTACTCCTCTGTTTCAGAATACAGCAGAAAAAGAGAAACCAAGATGGAGACTGTGATCTCCCTTTCCCTTGAAGTGCGGACATGCCAGGCAAGGACTCCCGAGGTGTGAGAAAATCTCGACCTGGCCTGGAGCCATCACAGGCAGGGCGTCAGCAGGTGCTAGAACCGCTGGGGCCGAGCTCCTGCACGGGGTGTCAGCTGCACCCTGCCTGGGAGAAGGACTCATGGGCATTATAGGTGCCCAATGGCAACGGGTGTGCAGAAACAGGGAGGTGAGGTGGCCTCCTCCTTGCCCCCTTGCCGGAGGGCAACCCCAGCCTGCTCCCACCCCATGGGCATCCCAAAGCTTCTCCCAGCACCAAAGATATTCCTCCAGGTCAGGTCTGTTTTCCAGAAAAGCTTTTCACTGGGAAATTGGTTCCTGTTTGTTCATTTTTTTTTCAAATAGGGAAATTAGCTGCTTTTACCTTTTTTCCCCTCCATAGCCCTACATAGTGTATAAACTGGGAAAAACAGCTACACAGTCAGCATCTCATTAAGTAATATGGGGTGTTGTAAGAGCTGGAACACCACCAGCTGACATGAAAGTCAGGCAATTACAGACTTATTTGAGGCATGACAGGTCTGAGTATGTCAGGACAAGGCGAGAAAAGCACAGACGTACGTGTCCCTGGTCCTTCTGGTCTCCCTTCTGATTTTTTATCAATTTTAGGATTTACTCCATTTATCTTAGAAATGTGGGGCTCTGTGAGCATCTGTGAACAAGCTATCAAGCAGATGGCCTCTCCCACTCCAGTGTGCCTGGTGCTGGGGAACATGCCACCGATGGCAGGTCACTATGGCCACAGCACTGACAGAGGAGCAGGTCTGGATCCTGAATTCCGTTGACACAGGAGATTTTTCTTTTGTGTAATTCAGGGTCAAAATTGCCAACATATGCCATCAGTGCCCCATACAGGGGATTTGAATCAGCTGTATGTATGGCTGTTTGCTTGCCAGGCAAGGCACTGTTTTAAACTCCCACACCAGGTAGCCGAAGAGGATTCCTTAGAGATCCTAATTTCTATCAATGGATAATGATGTGGATGTTATCTCTAAAATTTAATGCATTTGATATATCACAAAGAAAATCACTCACAAGACACAGACGTGTCAAGTCTCTGTGTGCACAAATTGTAATTGCCATCCCTCATCTTCGAGACATGGGGCTGACCTGCTGTGGCATCACCCAACCCCACCACTGGAACCTCTTTCCTTGATGACACAGCCACAGACTCACTACTTCAAAAGCAAGACTAAATTATGTATCAGGCTCCCTGTGCAGGGATCTGCTGTGATCGATCACAGCGATGGGCACAACCATACCACAAAGTGCAGTGCCTCAAAAGCTGCTTGTCCCCACCGTGCTGTGTCTCATCCAGCATCGGCCTGACCTCCTGCACAATGGCCAGGGCTGGTGTCACCCTGAAACCTTTGTGCTCCAGCCTGGCCTTGCTTTGCCTCACTCGTGGTTTGTCTACGAATGCTAACGGGGCGATACACTGATTAACCAGCGCGTCCAGGGCTTGCCTCCTGCGCTGCTGGGCTAGGGAAGACATTGGCAGGGCAGGGTCACCCCAAAATCACCTGCACGCTGCCCAATGTGGGGCTGCCTGTTGGGAACGGAGTGTGTCCTGGCCTGGCAGCAAACCTGGACTCGGGGTTGAGTGGAGCAAGACAGAAAGAGATTGCCTGGCAGCTCCAGCGAGCGGCACATGGCCCTGCCTTGCCACGGACGAGGATGCCATCATGTGGCCAAAGATTTTTATTCACATCCCACTTGCTTTACATGTTTTTATATTAAAAGCTTTCTACCCTCTGTTCCCTTTCAACACTGGGTAGTCCACAGCTCTCCCCAACAGCTCCTTCTGGCAGGTGTGTGTTACGTGAGAGTTTTGTCCGAGTAAATCCTGGGCATCCATCTCAAAACAGGTTTAACTGGATGAAGAGTATCAGGAAAAATCACCATACAACTCCAATGTGAGTATCAGGGCTTTACACCCAGGGGGCCACTGAACAGACCAAACTCGGGCACCGTGAGGGCGGGTTCATTAAGATACACAGCTTGTTGCAAACCTCATCAGTTTAATTAATTCATAATCCATTTTACATAATGTAGGCAGATAAGCAACACCATTTCTTTGCACTGAAAAAACAGTCTCCCTGAGTATTGTCCCGGGAGACATAAGATATTACGCATCTAAAGAACACGTTTTACATATAAGCATTAAAATGGGTAACATGGAAAGGACGAATCCTTAAGTGCAGCCAGCAACAAATATTCATGTGAAGGCTCATCAATTTTATGTATTTATCGAAAACAGTTCCCTGTATTCTTGCTAAGCTCAAAGACACTGTGAGCCTCCTCGCCTGCAAGTCCTGAGATGAAGCAAGACCAGCTGTTTCTCCCACTTTTTAAGGCCAGTTTTGGGGGAAGCCACGCTTCGGTTTTTAATTCGGGCTCCAGTGAAGAGGAGCCCAAGGGTGGGGACCCCATTTCTGAGCACTGCTCCAGACCCCAGTTTTTAGTCACTTTCTGCTGAGGTCTTCAAGTCTTGTCACCAATTCCTCCATTCATCCAGGGAAGAGGACATAGGAGTTTCTTTCCTTCTCCTTCTTTTTTGGAGGAAGGCTGGACAGCTGCTCCAGATTGTCTTCAGAAACCTGTATTGAGGGCATCTGCTAAAACTGCCATTGCTGAGCTTTTTCGCTAGAGCTCTTCTTCTCCAGAGGAAGATGGAGGGAACCATACATTTCTCAGAGGACAGTGTTGCCCCAGACTGTTCACCCATGCCACACATCCCTCTGCGTGCAAGGCTGTTACCCCTCAGCCTCTCCTGCCAGCGCCACCAGAGTCCTTTTGTCCCAGCAGAGCTGGTTCTTCTTGGGTTTTGGCATCAGAAGCTCCATGCTTAGAAAATAAAGCATGGAGATATTTAACAGCATAAACAAAAATAATCATGACGTAAAAGGTCTTGGATTAATTGAAAGGCTGAGGTAGACCAAAGAGAGACCTGGGTCTGCCCCAGTTCTCTCAGTGGGATTGCAGCAAAGAGCTGGAGGTGTGAAACTGGCCCATGTATTTTGGAGGATAGTTTGGGATAAACTCTGCATCCCTTAAAGAGACTTCCTTTGGTGGTGGTCTCTCGAGGCTGCAAAATGACGTCTGCAGGATTTGGCAGTTGGCAAACTGGACTGTCATGTCAGGGAGATCAGGAGGCCTAATGAGATACCTCTAACAGGTCCCTGGAGGGCTACACAAGGCAAGTTAGGGAAATTAAACCTATTTTTTTTTAGCAGCCTTCTATATGAAATGCGGACTTGTTTTATTATTTTCTGAAAAGAAGGAGTAGCTTAGTCTCTGAATTTAACATCCTCCTGTTCCCTAATTTAATTTATACCTTGGATAATGAACTGAAGTTGTTGAAGCCCTTCACACTTTTTCATGAAAATGTGTTAAATTGTGGCAAACTGGAAAGTTCTGTGATGTAAAACACGAGTATTCTTTCGTATGAGTGGAGTCATCCATTTCTTTGATCCTTGAAAGCAAGCTAGGATTTGGTGGGAATCCAGAACTTCCTACACAAAAAGCACCTGCACACCCACCACACCTCCTCCTTTCCTTATTCACAAAAGAGACGAGCATTATACGCAGTGTTGTACAGAAGACGCTCGCTCGGCTGGTGTTGGGTGGGCTGGGTTTGGGTGTATCTCACCCAAGGGTAAGGGAAGTAAGTTGTTCGCTCAGCTCAATGGGAAAAATGTCATTGGTGAAAAAGCCCAACACCACCGTGGGGATTATTAAGGTGCTCTTAGACAACGGAGTGAAAGGTTTGGTAAGAAAATGGTCTTTGGATTTGATTGAGCTGGTGCAGTTTTCGGAGTCCTCCAGGGACTAAGTCCGTGGCAGAAGAGAAAGTAGATGCTGTAGGTGCAGGACAGGAGTCTTCGGTCAGAGCAGCTGAGCTCTCACCAACACCACACTGCTGATTTGGCTCAGGAAAGTAGGAGACTTTCAGGTCTTCTGGACAACACTTTTGAAATAAGAAAGAAGGAGGTTTATGAAGTACTGCAGAAACCAGCAAAGACTGCCAAGAATAATCTTGAGTAACTGCTAAAAAAGTTTCTTTAATCAGATATTTTTAGTGCTGCTCCTTTATGCAACCCTAGGTTTATTTTTTGTAAAACTGTGAGGTGATAGTCAAGACACTTTGAAAGGGCTTAATTTCAGGTCTTTGTGGATGGATCAGGGGAGGAAAGGATACTGTGCAGGGACTTTAGTGAGAATGATATTTCAGAACTTTTAAAATGTTACAGAATATTCTCCTTTCAAATTTTCTCTTCTGATTCATACTAACCAAAACAATCAGAACAATCAGAACAGGTTGCAGTGAAATTCCGGGACATCTGGAATGAAACCAAAATCCATTGGCACATCTATTGTCTGCTCCAGATCCCACAGACCCAAATTGGAAAAGTCTTTGACTATTCAGGTATAGGTACCCATGAAAGTTATCTGACTTTCAGAGGATCTATACAATTGCAACTCCATTTGATTTAAATATTAATTCTCTAATTTTAATAAAGCTAGAGGGTCTTTATGCGCTGACCTGGAAGTTAAGGATTGGTCTCAGTTTGTTCTCTTTTCATTGCTTTGAGGGAAAGTTCATAGCCAAGAAACATGGCTGAACTCACTGGGAATCCTCGCACTGCATTGACCGTGATGCCCCTAAAAAAGACCTGTTGGGGATGGAGAAAGGTTAGAGCATAGGAATACACTGGCTGTTTTAAGAAGAAGAAAACATTGAATGAAGTCATGGTGGGATTCTGAAGATCCGAATCTGGGTTGCTCAGAAGATATGCTCTCACTGCCGGTCGTTGCTGAAGTCTGGAGAACGGGAACGCAATGGCAAAAGTCACTGGTTTGTGCTCTGTGCTCCCTATGGGACCCCATTGGTGTCTGCCAGCAAGAGCTACAAGAGCTGAAGGGTAAAGAAATGGCCTCATGTCACTGGTGTAGAGCAGAAAGGAAGAAACCTGAAACATCTTACCGTGTTGTCCTCCCTAGCTACAGTCCCTCCTTCCCTGTGCAAAGACCATGCAAACCCCAGGGGACAAGAAGGCTGTTGCTTTTCCTGCAGCAAATGCTCTGGCTCCCAGGGCTGTGTCTGTGAGCGCAGAAGACATTTGGGAAGCGGAGAGGGAGCGTTGCAGCTGCAAGCCAGCCCAGCCAAATGCAGGCACTGTGCCACGCAGACTATTTTTGCAGGTTTCACCTCTGAGCATAGAATGAATTTCTCAATTAACAGAAAACTAGACTTACTCTGTATCTTGCTGAAGAACTAGCTCTCACCACTGGCTTTGGGAAAAATATTCAATAGAAGCTGATATTTTCACATGTGTGTTCCTAAGGTCAAGCTTTGGTGCTCATATATATCCCAGCGTTCTCTTTCATTAAGATAATAAATATCCACAGCCAGGCTTCCTCATTCTGCTCAATATATATATATATAAATATATATATTTGAAAGGATGCTGGCACTTAAAAGAGTGAAAGGCTGTGTGGCTTTTAAATGCTTGAACAGTAAAGTGCTTTCTGGGAAGTGGAGAGGGGCCCTTGTCACTCCTCGCTCCTGGCGTGGGCTTGTCTCCCTTTGAAAACCCCCTTCGCTACCAACGCTGTTGCCTGGTATGTGCAAGGGTGTGCACAAACTACTCGCTCTGGGGTGAGCCTATTTACACAATGATGGTTGCAGGGAGTGTCTCTGCAGGCCTGTTTCTCACAAAAGCGCTCCGTTAACCACCCAGGCTAATCACTGTGGTCTCTAATCTAAACACCAGAAGTTCAGAATAGACATGAAAAGTAACATCAGCAAAGCAAGCCCCCTTCCAGACTTTACAAAGGCAAAGCTCCCACGGCTACTGTGAGAAAGCGTGGAAGATCTCGGCTCCAAGACCAGAAGCCCATAGATTTAAGTGTCTAACCAGCATTCCCCCTGAAATACTGAGCTCTGCTAAACACCATATCTTGTATCCAATAAATCCAGTGCATGGTGCTGACTTGTACAAGACAGAATCAAAATGTGTTCACATAGTTTAGGATGGAGTTTGCAACACGGAATTACAATATTGGGATATTTAGGATATTACTTGATTCATTGGGGTGGTTTATTTTGTTAGGAAAGATAGAATTTTCTGGGAGGAAATTCAAAGTTTTGCAGTATCCGTAAAGTAACACAAGAGGGCCAAGTTAAATAATAATGATTTACAAAGAAAAGCAAAGAGGCATCAATTTGTCTCAACAGAGTGCACACACCTGACTATGAAGAAAGAAGAGGGCTACATTTACACTTTTTTGTGTACATCAGGCAGTTATTTTCAGCACTGCGGATGCTGTTCCTTTGTCCCAGAATGGAAACATCCAGACCTAGGTTTGCTGTTTATCAGTTGTATATCTGCCAACATATCAAAAGATTTTCCTGACGAGAGAAGGATCCAGTCTCACCATCAACTATTAGTCAATCCTGTTGCCGGCTTTGGTCCAGGTGCCAGGCGTGAGAGCAGAAAAACTGCAAGCAGCTCAGACCTCAGACAAAAAAAACTAAGTGCCTGAATTAGTTGTTAATATTCAGGCAGGACAAGGAGGGTAGGATGAGGATGGGGAGAGAAGGGAAAACACATGGAAATTCCCTTTTCAGCCACCCTGAGTTTTACTGTGAAACTGCATGCCAAACTGAACATGAAGGGCAGGTGGCCTGCGTAGCGCCTGGGGCACCCTGACCCTCCTCTGACTGTCTGAGCATGGTCTTTAGCATCTCTCCAGGTGCCTGTGCTTCATATGACTGTGACTTTTTTCACTCAGTGGCAAAAAATGAACCAGACTGCAGGCTCCTGTGACGGCTGACATAACATAGTGGCGTGTTGACAAATATTTAAATCACATTGACTTCTGATTTTGCTGGTTATTTTTCTTTTTGTACCTTGTTCTTTTTCCCTCAGAATGTGAAAATTAATACTTCGGAGCTAAGAGCCCACTTGAGGTTTTGATGACAACTTAAATACAGATTTAGTTCAATATCAGAAGACGTTGCTTCTCATAACGATGCATTGGCAATGCAACAAAGCTGCAAACCCTGGTTCTCTGCCATTCGCATTTAACTGAGGCAAAGTTTGCAGGTAGAACAAACATCTTTTATTATACTAATAGACAAAGTCAGAAAAAGGAGATAAGGTTTTTTGGCATGCAGCCCTTCTTCACATTTGAAACCAAAGCAATTCTGATTTGAGAACATTTTCAATCAACTCTATCTTGGTGCAAAATGAGGGTGGGCAGTGCAAAACGCAGCATCAGTTCCACCAAAGCATTGCCCAAGGCAACCAAAGACACCCGGGGTGCCAGCGCGGTCCTGCTGGAATCGGTTCCCATTCACTTCGCTGTCAATGGGAAATATTTGGCCTCTGCATTTTGTAGAAGCACAGGGGCAAGATTTTCTACCTCTGATTTATGATAAGTCAAATCATATTCACAATTAAATGCACTGACATGAAGTGTTAGCTTAAGTTAATTGCACCAGCAGACTGTGACCCTCAGTCATTAATTTTGTATTGCTGTAATGCGCATTATTACTCTCATTATTATGATTTAGCAAGGATCTGCACTATAATTACCTGCTGTCATTATTATAATTTATCAGCTTTAGCTGTCTCTCAACCCTGCAGATAGGTTTGTAACAGCCATCATATTTTCCAATTGAAAATTAAGTGCCTAACACCCGGATTTTACTTCAAATAGCACTTACTTTTAAGCCCTCGTTCTGGTAGCTCTGCAAGATACAGTCAAGGGTCCCTTTGTACTTGTTCAAATAAACTCCATCTGCCTGAAGTCGACTTTTCACAACATCCATTGGAGTAGCAGTCCCCCAGGAGATGACTCCTAGAAAAATGCAGAAGTATTTGAACAATTTCTTGTCTATATTTCCGTGGCTGCAGGTCAATGAACTCAGAAATTCACCTCTCATCTACCGCATCGTATTCATGGGATTTTCGTTTCAGGGCATTCACCCTGCTCAGGCACAGGAACAGTATTTCCTGGAGCAAAGTTCCCTGTTCCTGGAAGAAGCACTGAGATTTTGGGGATTACGCTGGTAATCAAATGCAGGCAGCCCAGGAGGTGCTCCTGCAGGTGCAAATACATCTTCTGCCGTGCTTCTGGTGGAGCATGGATGTGCCGTGGGAAGAGTCTGAGCTGCAGGAAGCTGCCGCTTGGGGTGATTTCAGAAAAACTGGAGTCCTCAAATAATACTGCTGAAAAGCAAAGTTTGAGCTGAGAATGCAAATAAGAGGCAGGTCCATCTCATGCAACCAGCATCAGGCTCCAGACAGCTGAGATACGTCGCCATGGCCCAGTTGGACAGACAAGAGTTTGTTTGGACCTAGGTGAGTGTTGGGCCATACTAGAGAAGCTGTCCAGATGGGCCAGGGCTCTGTTTATTTGCAGGAGAAACGGAAAGGGCATTTTGTAATCATTACCTGACTTGCATTTAGGGGTCTGCAATTTAGAAATGGCCAAGAAACGGGGAGTGGGTGTAGGGGTGACCTTATGCATGTATGCATGGTGGGGGACACACATGCCAGTCTTACTGGCAGGTGTACACAGGAAAAAAGAAGATGATGATGATCAATAACAGTCAACTCTGCTTCTGCTGCATGCAGGTAGGGTGCACACCCTCCTGGTGGGCAGCCAACAGGTTGAAGTCCTCTTCTGGAGGCATCTTGGCTGCCGTGTATCACTGGCAAGGTGATATGCAAGCTGCCTAAGACATCCAGGGAGATGAAGGCACTGGCTGTTTTCCTTCCCACTGACGCTGAGCATGATAAAGATCTGATGATAACACGACTTCCATAAAGTTTGCCAAGTCATAAAGCACAGCCGTGGTGCCAGGGGACCTGCCTCTGCGGGAGGAAGGTCATTCAGCCCCGTGTCCTCTCCTGGTGACCAGGAGGATGTGGTGGCACCTGAGCTACCCCCGTGATCTGCCCTGGGAACCTTCCTGTCCTTGTTTTGCCACTGTTGTGGGAAAAAAAAAGGTGCTTACCTGCTACACCCCCTGCCAGCCAGACAGAGGAGGGATTAGGGGAAATGCATCCATCAGGGGTGATGCAGCCACAGAAAAACGTGTAAGGAATGAAATAGAGGCAGTACCCAGGAACATCCCTCAGCAGCATTGCTCCTGCGCCTCTGTATATTCCTGCTATCCCCTCTTTCTGTAGGACTGTCTTAAAGCAGTGAATTGGGCCTCGGTACACAGGAAATCCAGGAACTGTGGGCTTTAGTTTAATGTTTGCTGCAAAAAAAGAAGATAGAACTGTTGTAATAGATGTATTGCTACAGAACTCATGTTAAGAGCCCATCACCATCAAACAGAAATCGCTGCCATCCATTTTGTCTTGCTGGGATCAGTATGTAGCATGGGAAAAAAAGTTTTAAGAAAGAGGGCTTAGGTCCATTTCTGAAAGACTTTTAGAGACTTCAGGACAGATTTTTCTTAGATGCATTGCATGCCTCCCAATAGGTATGTGTCCAGTGAGATTTCCAAATGAGTTTAAGGCTATGTGCCCAATTTTCATGGATTTTAACCACATGTGCTTCCAAGCTGCATCTTTGAAAGCCTTGACATCTTCAGAGTCTGGCCTTTCCCACGTAGACCAAGTTGCTTTTGGAAAGGACATGTGGTCGCGAAGTTGCATGGAGGGTTTTAAAAAGGGACATAATATTCTTTTATTAAAGCACTACAAAAATATCATTATTTCACAGTTAAACACCACAACTATAATCATGAGAAAGGTGTTGAACTGCTGAAATCCAAGCTGTTCAGCTCTGAAGCTGCACCGTCTCTTCCTTCGGCTGTGCACGTGCTCTGGTGGGGTTTGCTCCATGCTGGCGGCCTGCGATGAAATTCAGCTGCTGGCTTGAGCAGAAGCAGCTCTTTCTGCCTGCAGCTTCTGGAGAGGTTACAGCTGCCCACTGCCGTCCTGTCAGCAGCCCCTCCTGACCCATCTTGCCTGCACCTGGGCTACCTGTAAACCTGCCCTGAATAAGCCAGCGGTTTTCAAATGTACGTGTGAAATTTTTGCTTTTGAACTAAGGAGGGTGGAATAACAGAGAGGTGTTGATGGCCAAATGTACGTGGAACTGAGAGTGTGCAGCAGGAGATGGGGAGCTGGCATCACCACTGGCAGCCATGGTGCTGCTGGTGGGATCTCCAGGGAACCCAATAGCCCGGGGATTCACTGTTCTTGCCCCACAGAAGGCAGCTGCCGCGGCTCCTGGTCCTGAGCAGACCTGCAGACCTGCCCCTGTGTTTGTTACAGATCCCAGTCAGCTGGAAATGCCAGCAGAGATCTGAGATCTGATCAATGTCATTGATAAAAACCCTCCCCTTGAGGTGAGCAGAATGGCGTCCATCCTGAGGCAGAAGGAAGCATTTTTAGCTCAACTGCAGTGGCACAACACAGAAGAGAGCCGGGCCTTTAAGCAAAGTTGTCCTAAAGCTCTTGGTAGACACCAAGAACTGGCAGAGAAAGAAAAAAAGAACCTCTTGCTTCCTACCTTTGATGTACGGCTGCGTTTGCATCTGTAGCCTTATCTTCACCAGGTCCACGGGAGTGCCGATGCCCACGGAGACGAACCCTGCCACCATGCTGGCCAGAGCCACATCGGCGAGTGCTGGCGTGCAAGCTGGGTCTCCGTGGCGGAGCTGGCTGAGGAGCCGTTGCGTGTTGCTGAAGACGCCGAACACCACGGAGCTGTAGACGGCGATGCTGGCCAGCGGGAAGGACATGCCTTTGAAGAAGCCGGCCAACTACCCAGGGAGGGGAGCAGGAGTTAGAGAGTGAACGGGACTAAGCAGCATAAACCCCAACTTGTCTATCAGGCCAGAAATGCAAATCCAAGTCCCAGATATCTCCTGGAGCCAAGTATTTGCACGTGCTGAGCAAATGAAAATTAATTCATACTGCTAAAGACTTTTAAAGATTGTACAGAATTCAGGGTGTGCTGAAAGCACAGGAACCCACATAAAAGTCCCTCTTATGGACAGCTTCTGTCCTGGCATCTCCAAAGTCAGCAAAATACCTCTAGTAGGTCTTTGCCGGCAGGTAGGGGCAAAAGAGCCACTGTGGATGTAACACCCTGACCCATGCAGAGACATGGGCAGTGTCATTCATCACTCCATGCCAGGGATCTGTCTTTTCCTTATAGGAGTCACTGATAGTTACCTTAGACTTAAGCAAGAGAAGGCTGCAGGGATTTGCAGGCTCATTTGCACCAACTTTATTGGTCTTCATATAACTGCTGGTGTCAACAGTGATTTTGTATAATCGCTTTATGTATTTATCTATTTATCTATTTGCATTTTCTACCAGCATATTTTAAATAAGATAAAGTACTTACAGACTCATTTCTGTACACAGTAAGAATGCAGTTGAGTGTATTTCCATACCCTTGTCCAGCTTGCAAACGAGTCTGCAAAATACATTCAGGAAATGCAATGAAAATCCCAGCACAGTGAAAGCTCATGCTACGTAAACAGTGTGTACTTTGCTTTGAAAGCGAATCCTTCCTTAGTTGTAAAGAAAATAGAGCAATAAAATAAGATATATATGCATCCACCCTCCTTGAACTTTGCCAGAAGCAGGGCTAAATGGGACCTCAGAGGTCTGAAGCTTTCTGCAACATCTGGAATCGATGACTGTCAAACTGCTCTCGAGTCCAGACCGGCTACCCTGGCTCAGCACAGTGTCACAGCAGACTGCTGGTGTGCGGTGCTGTCACTGACAAGGTTCTGATTTATGTGGAAACTGGGGAGTGATGTGGTCTTCTCCATTTGGGGCCTCTCAGTGGAGGCTGGGATGTGTGGCTGAAGGATGGAGAGGAAATCTCCCCTGGGGAGGCTTCCAGGGCTCTTCTCGTCCAAGGTGGATTTTAGGACAGAAATACTGAAAGGAGCCAAAATAATTCAGCTCCATCTCAGAAATGCTCCGTGCTTCACTCAAAAATACATTTTTACATCATTTCCAACAAAAACATTTTGTTTCTGGAATGCAATGGTTATACGCCTTCGGCAACAGGCCTACAACAGCTGTGAGAAACGGCATATAAGTCACGACGAAGCCTGTATGTACTTTCCCCTTCTCACGTAAATATATACCCAACCATTTAGATCATCTTTCATTCAAGCTGCTCACAAGTTTGTGCTAAAAACATTCTAACAAGAGATGCATTTTTTAGGCTTAGAGGTGTGCAAGGAAATGGAAGTGCTGTTCGCTTCGCAGGACCGGAGGCTTCAGCAACGAACGTTGGCAGAGGCCAGAGCTCATTTTTGGTAGGAACACACTCACTGACTGCTCTGTCAAGGATGTTTTTACGGAATGGGGACAGCAATTCTGGTCCTGTCCCTCAGCATTGCTGCTAGGAATGACAAAGCCTAGAGGGACAGTGCCTGGTCCCCTCCTGTGGCTCAGCCCCAACTTACACCAGGGTGAAGCAGCAATTTTATTGGGGAATTTAAAGTCCAAAGGAGTGTGCGTTTTCCAGAGTTTATGCCTGGGGAGAGCTTTTGGACAGCAAATAGCAGGTCGAATGACAGAATTATGTGGTCCAGAGCCCTGCAAGAGGCTGGCTGGTGGGGTGCCGTGGTGGCACCCTGGCCGGGGAGCAGGAAGGACCGAAGCCCGGGCTCACCCCTCACCCTGGGGCTGCTCCATGCAGCCGTTTTTTTTGCACCGCCACTCTGCTCTGTGCCTGGCCAGAGGCCACGGAGAAGGCAGCAGCAAAAGCAGAATATTTACTGAGCCGTTACGAACAAGCTGGTACGTGAAGATGCCGGCTCCGGCTCCTGCGTTGTGCAACGCAGGCAAGCCCGGGCCGTGGGGGCAGACGGGTGCACGCCATGACTCACGCCAGAGGTAACAGGGCCGGGGGGGACTGGTGGGGAGGCTGGCTGCACCCCAGGACAGGGGGACCGCAGTGCACAGCCCTGTGTTCCCTCCTGGCTTCATCTGAACCCTTAGCCCAGACATTTCCATTTTGCCTCTGTGGGCTTGTTTTTTTTTCTTTTACACAGTAACCAGGTATTCAGAAGTTCAAGTTAATAAATTTTTTGACTAACTGAGGGCAACTGAGTGTCCTCACAACCTGGTCCTCACACACATGCCCCTTCACTAAGCTGTTAACACCCAGCACTGAAATCACTGCTGGCATCTCTGTGAACTGATACCGGTATGGAGATTCCTCTGGAAACTTCTCCTTCCTGTTACATTTTAATTAGTGTGACAGGGCTCTTGGGTGACACCCAGAAACTGAAGAAAGTGGGGAAATTAATCCAATGTGGAGGATGAAAAGTGAGTAAATGTAAAACTATTTAGAGTTTTGCAAGGCTTTGGAAAAAAACAGCTCCTTGGGTTTGATGGATGCTGTGACACTGGGAAGGGGCCAGCTGAAGGAGGAGGCCTGCTTGATGGGAACTGTGGTGTGGATACCACATACCCCACCCAACTGCACATGCAGTCCTGCCTTCTTCTCCTGGTGGGGAAGGACCCCCCGTCCCGTGGAGGCTGCAAATGCTGTTGAGCTGCTCCTTTGCTGGCTTAGTGCTGGATAAAAGCTTTCCTTTCCACTTCCCCCAAATTTGGAAAGATAACAAGTCCGCCTACTTGGTATTCCCAGGACATGTCCAAAGCCTAGGGCAACAGAGGGGCCAGCCTGACAGTTGTCTTTGTAAGCACTGAAGGATGGGCTCGCTCTTTCTCGGCATCCAGAAACTCAATGCTTCCCAGCAGGATCCTCTCTCAGTTCTTGCCAAACTCCCCCAAATCTGGCAACGACGCCCTGATGGCCAGCCTGAGATGGGGATTGCCTTGGCAACCCTGGTCCGTGCCCTGGCCCTGCCCATCGCAGGGATGGTGCAGGCAGCCTTGCAGCTCCTCCCGCATGGGGTCTGCACCCGTCCTTGCACAGCAATGCTCCTGGGGCTGATACCACCTTAGCAGTTCAGAAAGCATAGGGCTGGCATGCCATCTCCTGATCCCAGGAGAGCCGTCTGTGTACGAGGGGATGACTGTGATGGCTGGGGAAGGGATGTGGCGTGGACCCTGCCTCCTCCCCATCACCCTCCAAGGGTCTCTAAGGTGCAAAGAGGACCGCTGGCTCTTGGGTTTGCCACATCTGACAGCCCCGCCTGGTGCCAGCAACACGGCTTGAACCAGATCAGAGCATGTGGGCAGAGCAGGTGAAGCAGCTGGCCAGAGATGCCTGTCACACTGTACAAAAAGAAAGGATCAGGGTCTTCCTCTCTATCTCTGCATCAGTACAGATGGTCAACGTGGTTGTGTCAGGCTGTATTGGTGTGTGCATGGGCTTGTCTGCATCAGGCTAGCAAATATGTCACATCTCCACATCCTTCCCTCTGAGGAATGATTGTCTTGCAGGAGTAGCATATATTGCATCTCATAGCCCTGGGATAAAATTTCAGCATTGCCAGAGCACTAGGAAAACACGTAAAAATGTGCCTGCAGCAAAACAAATACAGTTCCCCTGTTGCCCTTTGAATACTTGTCTGTGGCAAAGTTCAATGAAACATCAGCAGAACTGTTCGGTAAACCACACAAACTAAGGTCAGGTTAAATTTTCAGCATTAATCCTCACTGGAGGAACTTGCATATATCAGCCAGTTCTTTTAGTTTTTTGTTCAAAATTAACATTGGAGAGAAAGAGGGTGATGGGGGAAGTGAAGTTCTTTTGAAGCACCATCTAGAAAGAGGCCACCTCCCCGTTGGTGGGGGTCTGGGTGGTGATGTGAGAGCGTTTTACCTTGATCGTGTCCAGGGGGTGGCCCACAACCACGCTGGCAGCTCCTGGGGATGAAGGCAAAGTATTACACAAAACATTGAAGAAGCTTTTATGACGGGACAGGAGGTGATGTGTTTATAGGGGAGGAGATGAGATTTCCATAGGAACAGTTGTACTGGGCCAAGCCAGAGCAATGCTCAGCACAGTGCCCTGACTCTTGACAACCAGTAAAAGCTGGGCAGGAACACTTGTACATCTTTCCTTGAATAGTCTCCTGGACTTCATCAATTTAACATCTCAAAGGCATCTGAGCAAGAGGAGGAGGTGTTGTATTCCTATATCCTGTCCATGAACAACTCCTCTTCCACTCTTGTAAGTTCATGCAAAATTTTAGCCTTAAAATGGTGAGATTCAGGTTAGGCACAAGGAAATCCTTTCTCCTGGCTGAGATAGAGATGCCCTAGAGCTGACTGCTGATGGGAACTGGAAACCCCTATCCTTTGCCATTTTAAGACCAGTTTGTAGAGATACGTGTCAGGGATGATTCAGACAAAGAGGATCCTGCTCTGTATCAATCTGTCCATCCCATCCAGACTCATTCCCCATGGTTCTCTGGGAGAAACTGGCCCATTCCCCTTAACCATCCTGCCCACCTACCCACGCTGCTCACTGCCAGGACACCCTGTGGCAGGGCAGAGCATGGCTTGGTTTCCCCCTTCTCCAGGAGGATGGTGCAGCCCGTGTGCCTTGCCACAATGTGGTTTTGTATGCTTGTGGCAAACACCACCGGCAGGGTTTAGGGTAGTTGTGGAGAGATGAGTAGTTTGTGCTGCTTCCTCATCTGCAAGCATCTCTGTGCAAACCAGTGTCCCCAAGTCCTTTAGAGACTACATGAAATTTCTCACTTGTAGTGCGTTAGGACCGAAAAGGGTACCATGTCCTTGGTCAACATATTATGACTTTACTCAAAAATGTATTATAAATTGTCCCCTTTCCTCTTGGACCTTAACCTGTGCTATGCATGAAAACTGGCTGCTGCCACCAACACTGAGCACTGGTGGCTCTTCAGATGCCCTGTCCCGCTCCTGGGGGTGTGTGGCAATAGCGCAGCGTCAGCGGGGCAGAGGGAGCGACCCTGTGCTGCACACCCTCCGCGGGCTGCCGCCATCCAAAAATCAGCTGCTCACGTAAACTTTTGGCAGAGGTTTGGGGTTTTTTTTGGGGGTGTTTTTTTTTTGAGTCAGCTAACCTGTTAACCTCCTCTGGCCGGTCAGGATCCATGAGCCATCTCACACCCCTTCCTGAGCCTGGCGTGAGCTCTGGTCTGGCACTGCGATTGCCCCTCTGCAGCCCACCCCAGGAGTGGGGCAGCTTGGCTGTGCCCCCTACCAGCTGTTAAATACGGTTCTGTAAGACACACTACGTGGCTGGCACCTCTGCAGATCCTCACATTTCTTTTTCTTTCTGGCATCTTAATTTCTCGGTGTTTGCGATCAGCATTTTCAGCAGACGGGGTCAATACCCCTCCCTGGCCATCAGCCTGTTTGCCCTGTCGGGATCGCGGGGTCAAAGCCAGGCGGTGCCTCTCCCGTGGGGGGGTGTATGTGGCTGGGGGACACGGGGTTGGCTCCTGCGAGCCCCGGCAGCTCCCCTCCGAGCCCGACGGTGCTTCCAGCCATGAGAGCAAGGACGGGAGAGCCGGCGGGGGCCGGGGGCTTGCGGGCTGGCTCTGGCAGCGCCCCCCGCCCCCCGCCCTGTGGGCGCACAGCAGCATCACACGTACCGATACTGACATTTTAAGTATCCCGCCCGTGGAAATTGGATTAAACTGCACTTCTGAGCCAAAGCCCAGCCAAGCAAACCGCGCATCCCCTGGTACGAGCACGCCGGTCGGAGGCACAGACCGTAGGTGACCCGGAGGATTTCATTCCCACGCACGCTCCTATCCCCCCACTTCGCTGCTGCCTTCCCCCCACCACCACC